GTGTTGAGTGCAGAGCACCAAAAGTACAAGAACTGAAGGGTGGGCTCTGGCAGCAATGAAACCATGGACCCTATATGTAATGAATTAAAGACATTACATCTGCCCATTCAAAACCCAGTGCTCAACTACAGGTACAGCTCAGAGAAGCATGAATCCATCTTGACCGTCTTTGTGCAACACAGACTGAGCATTACCTGCTCGCCTCGACTGTTTTTCACATCTCTCGACTCTGTTGAAACCTGTTTACATGCATATCTCAGGCTAATACTAGTAATCAACGCTGAAAAGCACAGGTTGAATACAGAAGTCTCAGTGCAAACATACTCAGAAATCACTTCTGTCCACTACTCTTATACTTAAAATCATCACTGACTTTCAGTTAGAATTGGTAAAAAAAAAAATTGCTAGGTTATTTCATACCTTTGAGGCATCATTGTGAACCTGAAATAATCAAAACAAACAATGGATCAAAAAGATGCAGCTTGTGTGGTTTAGTTAACGTTACATTTAATCAAACAAAGTTATTGTACACCCAGCTAGCAGCACGGGAAGCCAGCCAAACTGATTCTGTCCCATACAATCAGAAATGTTGGCAATTCTTCACATTTACTCAGATGTCCCTACCAACATTCAAGTCATCATGTAGCCATGGGGCAATGCTGCACTTAGCTGGGTGGCTAATTAGCCTCTGAGCATGCGCTGTAAAGCACGTGGTTTGAGGTCTAATGCAGTAAACACTTCAGCACTGTAATGAAGCTCATTTGGTCTTTTTATTCAACAGTAATGCAAATCAATACAAATTATATTCAGTACAAATAGATGCATCAATTGTATAAACACGACTGCATCGAGCGGACAGAAGTAGGCATAATATATCAAAGTGAAATTGAATAACCGAACCAAACAAGAACAAACGAAAAAAAAGTATACAATACTAAAAGGTAACGCCATTCTGATATAAAATTAAACCGTTTAAGGAAGTGAATGGTTTTGGTTCGTGTCTTATTAGCATATTTTAAGTGTGACAGTGTTTAGAAGTAATTGTTTAGATCAGACTGTTTAAAAGTTAAAGAGGGTGATTTCACTGCAGCGCAACTTACTGCTAGCATCGGCGCACAACTACCCGTTATATAAACACTTCTCCGAAACAATAATACTGATTTAATAGGGTTTACTCAAGGTACAGAATACAGTAAAAGCTGAATAAGCCCTGGAAAAGCACAACAAACTGCAACTAATGCAAAGTGCAAAGTTTACCTGACATCGAAAACCGAGAAGTGAAAATGGGAAAGGGAAATAAAAGAGCGAGGCCCTTTTATAAGAGATGCCGCACAGGCTTATGGGAAAAAGTGGTACGACGACCAGCGCCCCTGTTGGTCATGTAACGTTTTGTTAGCTACATTGACGAGCTATACATTAAATAATCCTCAATTATTTTTGTGAAACTAAACACAAAAAAGGCTGAAGTAGCGAACAACCATGGTGGACGATATGAACAACCTGCTGTGGGCAGACTTCATGTGAAGTTAGCGGAACTTCACAGACAAATGTTAACACGGAGGACTCTGCTTCACAATCACAAATTTCTTCACATAACTGCCGTATTTGAATAATTACAATACAGATAATATAAAAATGCTTCCATGAAGATAATCTTGGCATTTGCAGCAGATGATTTTGAACCGTAGCCAGACATTCTACCGACATTCAAAACTACATAATATTAAAAGTCATATGAAATCCAACAGTGGCATAAAGCAGTCAACATTACCAACTGTTAATACAACCAAAGATTTTGTCGGTAAAATGTCTGGCTACGGTTCAAAATCATCTGCTGCAAATGTAAAAATGATCTCGTACCTGTAAATTTTCCACCACAAAATCTGCTATAATCAATGTTTCATAAGCATTCAGTGTTGGTAAACATCACATTCCCTGTGGATGTTTTATTGTTGGCTGTTTTCAGACACCCACAAGCCCTGGATTCACTGCCTTTTTATTTCTTCACCCTCACAGATGTTTTCAGATAAGACCTGTTGTGAGATGCAAGTTAGATGAAGTCATGCTGGAACCTCCACAAACTCTGCACTGAAATGCACGATAATGGTTTAAGTGTTCCTGCCAAAACAAGAGCGTCACAGCTAAAAAAAAAGAAAAAAAAAAAAAAAAAAGAAAAGGCAAATATGTGACTCAAGCTAAGTCCTAAGGTCAGGGGGAAGTTTCCGTGCCTTATTTCACTTGTCTCGGTCACATACCTTGTTGTGTGCCATCGTCCTGGTTGGGCTGGCACTCCCCCTCCCATATGTTGCAATAAAAGTAATTAAAATAGTAAGTGGAAATATTGGAGATGCTGTCCAGCTGGAGGAAATCGGCCTCTGCGGACAGAGCCCAGAGCAGAAGCACAAACCACCGCACAAACATTGGAGACGAGGCTGGTTCAAGGTAGTCAACAGGACACTGCACATCACCTCCCGGGTTTTATCTTCCGTTTAATTAGGGCAGGCGAACTGCCGGCGGTCTCCACTGTGTGGGATGTGTCCTCATCTCACCCGCTGTACATGGCGGCGATTGAGTAGCGCCTGTTTCTCTCACCGGAGTGTACAGCGATTGCGGGCGGTTGCTCTACTGACGTTATGCCCAATGACAGCACTCGACAAGGGAAGCGGTTTCCCGCTTCACTGTGTTTAAAGTGATCAGTTTTCACTCCAGACCGTATACACTTCCCCCAGTGAAATTTGCTCTGTTCATCTCCCATAGCCGATTTAGTGTCCCGGATTGTTCACATGTATAAAAAAAAACCTCTTAACATTGTTAGTGATCTTTACTCTTGACCTCCTTGTGTATGCATTGAGCCATTCTGCAGCATAAATTACTGATGTTAGGGTGATTTTTATTTTACGCACTTATGAATAGGATTTGTTAAGGTTTTACTTTTATAGCATGCATAAGTTTACATACTTATATGTCAGTTATGTTTATATAGTTATATATCACCCTATGTGTTCACTGAACCACTGGTCAATATTTCCTGTTAGTCACTGAGGCACTTCAACATTATAGGGTCTTGTCCACTAAATTACTGAAACTCATTAGATTTACAGCTCTGGCTAAGAGAGTCCACCTTGAATTTATTATCATCACCGAGCTAGTGGAGCCAGGGGAGTTACAATTCACTGGGACTCCAAGGTTAGTCAAACAGAGATTAGATCTGGAGGCTAGCAGAGAAAGCTTCAAAGGTAGAACCATTATGCACCCACACACACAGAACAGTTTTAATTAGTGAAATGGAAAGCAATGCCTAATATGGAGCAGTTAGTTAGAAAGAAAGGAAGAAGTGAGTGTGTATGTAGAAATTAAGGCAGTATAGGTATTCTTCCCCTTCCTAGAGCGCTGTCCTCGACGATTGGAGCAGAGAGAACGTTGGAGGACGGACGGACTTGTTACAAATTAATAAATCAGTCATAATTATTAGACATTGTGTTAGACTGTGTTATTAATGCAGTTTAGTAAGATTCAAAGCCTGCTCTAGTCTGCTCTGTTTCAAGGTTAGCAGTAAGCCATGACACCAATTGTTTTCTTGTATTAATCTTGTGTTAGATTTATGTCTGAGTGATTGTTTTAGTTACACACCATGTAACAACACACGGAATTCTTCATTTTGTTATGACTAGGTAATACGCAGCTGCTCCAAGCCTGTGGAGCTCTAGATAAGAGATGGAGTCTGCTGGACGGCCTTCATCTGTGTAAGGGGTTAGCCCAAAACTGATAAATGTCTTAGGCTCTGTGTTTCCGGGATCTCTTTTTCTGCTCTCTTCTCCAGCAGCTTGGCTGAAGGAGGGAGCCCTGGGTTGTGTTCTGTAATCCTTATACATATATATATAATTTTTTTTGTAAATAAACCAGCACTAAAATCAAGAAAGACTGACTCAGTTATTCAGATCTGTTCAATAAAAGAACTGGGGCATTACAGACTGCAGGATCAATAACGGGAGAGTTAAGTCTAAACCACGGCTTCTCCCCAACAGTTTTTGACCAATCAGATAGTAGCACCTTTTCATACAAATATTGTATACCGATAAGTTGAGGGAGTCTTTTTTTGTTTTCCCATAACAGTGAAGATCCATGTGCACATGCTAATTTTGATACATTAATGCATAATAAATCTCACTGCGAAATATCCTTTTACTAGTCTTCTTTTCAAAATAAAAGAACATCAATCACACTGACAAAGTGTCAGCTTCCCAAAAACTGCTGTAAAAATATTTTTCCACTTTAAACAAGTCAATCTTTAAAAACCAGTTCAGCCTGAAATATACATATCAAATGTTAGTTTGGGTTTTTAACCCTTTAAAGGCCAGCATGTTTACATAACTTATTTTAAAAATCAAAAATAAAATTTCCATAAAATACATTTCAAGGAGCATTTGGTTTATTGGGCCTTGAGATGGCAGCAACATTGATTTTAATGCATTATTTTTTTCTGAGGTGGCAGATTAAAGTTAATTTTAGCCTGTTTTGATATGATTTTCACTAGGTCTTGTTCTACTACAAGTATAAAGTTTGAACTGTTGTGTTCTAAAAATACATTAACACAAGATTAGTTTGAACCAGAAAAACAATTTATTTTAGAAAGATGAACAAAAAAGGAGCATGTATGTGTCTGGGTGAATCCAGCTCAGGTGGAGCAGAACCTGCAAATACACAGACTGTGATCCTTGCATATGAACTTTTTACAATTGCAGCAGGTGTTTGCAACTTTCCTCATTTTGCCCTTGCAAAAGTGACACTGCCTCCTGCCCTTAAATTTAATGCTAAGAGCGGGGCCTGCAGCAGCAACCTGCAGATTTGAGACTATTCCTGCAGCAGCTGATGAGCGGGGAAGGCGCCCTCTCTTCTGGATGTGTGGGGTCACCAGCATTTCTCCCACCTCTTCAATGTAGAGCCTCCTCCTGTATGATTTCCGCTGCTGCCAGGATGGCTCCGCTGATGTCCAGAGGACATAGGCATTGTAAAGTGAAACGTCCAGCAGGTTGTGGAAGAGGGCCAGTGGCCACCGATTTGCTTTCCTCCTGCAGGAGTAGGTGCCAACAACCTAACAAAAAAAAACCCAAAACACAGAGACTATATGAATAGATGATCCAAGTATTCCTTCTCAGGATACACATTGTCAAAATGCTCATTTGAAGAAAAAAAAAAAAATCTACATACATTTTAAACAAGAAAAAATAAATGTGCATAACTGATGTGTAATGGCACCTACCTTATCCAAGTTATTGACGCCTCCTTTGCATCTGTTGTAGTCTTCGATTATGATGGGCTTCCTTTTTATTTCTTCGCTTATGTCTGGACTGCGGTGTTTTGTGCTTAGGAGCAGCACATTCTTGCCTCGTCGGGGGATGTAAGAGACCAGTG